TTCGGACCGTCCGTTCCAGTAGAAATGGACTGTCCGTTCCGCGATCGCCAGACCGTCCGTTCCAGATCTGGACCGGACGGTCCGGCATCTAGACCGTCCGTTCTGCGAGTAAAAACGGACCGTCCGTTCTACGTTAAAAGCCAGACCGTCCGGTCCACGACCTAGACCGGACGGTCCCGACTTACGGGCAGTTTTCGGTTTTCGCGTTTTAAGGGTTTTGGGCAATTCTAATTAATGAGAGAGCCGCCACAAACCCTAGAGGAAGAACCTCAGACGTCCAAAACACTCATGAGAGCTTAGAGAAGCTTGATTTCGAGTTATAGAGATTGGAATATCGATTCCAAGTCAAGGACATCGGTTTTCTCTTCACAAATCCTAGCAGATACGTTCCAAAGCGTTGGAATTCATCCCGCCGGTGTGGATACGTGTAGAGGAGTTGTGCTTTCAACTCTCGGTGATTAAAACAGGCCCTGGATCGATTGATACTTCCAGATCTTGAAAGAACGAGGTAAGTATTCGAATCCCACGACGATATACACGATTGTTCGGGTTATTGCACAATTGGTTTTGTGTGACGTTTGGCTAGGTTTAGATCTTTCCTTCCGCTGCGTGAAACCTAGAATCCAAACCCTAGATCGATGAGATCGCATGCTAGGAACCCGAAGGGAACCCCAACACTACCGAGTGAGTCGGTACTGTTGCATGATGAGGGAATACGGTCTTTTGGTAACCACGCTAATGTTTTTGCTAGCGACGGAGCGGATTCTAGGATGGAATGATCCTCCCGAGGATGAGGCATTACACATACCTGAGATTCGAGTAGATTGGGATCTCACGAGGAGGTGGTACAGACTTACTCTGCCAGGTTCGGGCACGAACCTAACAAGTATTTCTGCGACGGATGATCGGTGTAGGGGAGTTGCAGTCACTGGCTCTTCTGTTATAGTCGATGGTGTCGGTTGGAGCCGACGTCTGGTGAACTCCGGTATTGAGAGGTGACATCAATGCCGGAGCGAGGCGGCACGTCTAGCATCGAGAGGTGACATCGATATGCTAGGGTGAGGTGATATGTTCGGACGGAGAAAAATATGATTATGCCGCATTTGGGTGATTGTGGTGTAGATGGATTCCGAAAAAAGAGGTGGTTATGCTATGCACATGAGGAGTATATGACCTACGCATGATGCACGCAGAGACGATTTGACGGATGTGTCGTATGACTCGTCCTACGGACTTGATTGTGATTGCGATTGATAAATCGATGTTTGTTGTTTGATATGCCCGTTGATTGATTTTATTACTGTTAAATTTGTGCGTTGAGTTACTTGTTTCAATAAAAATGGGATATCTGGGTTGCACCCAAGTCACTCTCTAAGAAATTAGTTTAGAACGTTGTTACGCAATGTTTTAGGTCAGGAGCAGCTGCCAGCAGTAGTCGTGGAACAGACAGAGACCTGGGCGACTTGTTAACTGATTATGTATAATTATTTATTATGGTACATTTATGCTTTTGGAGAAACGGTTTTGTGTGATATCGGTGGTAGACTTTTACAGTTTGTAATAATGTTATCGCTATCACCTGTATATGTATAATTATAATTAGAATAATGTATCATATATGTATGTATGATTGTTTTTCTTTCACTAACTCTGAAAAAAAAAGTTTTAAAATCCCACAAAGTTTTGGGAAATTGTGTTTTTATTTTAGTCATCCATTTGATGCAACTCGTATTGTGGGATACGGATTTCGTGTGTCACACACATGTAGGGTGTGAGTCAACTGTAATTGACGACCGACACATGAATGGATAATGAGTCGAACCCCCATCCTCTCGTTATATGGATTATACTCCTTACCAATTCATATGGAGTTTTCCTCTGGAATATTGTTAAAAAAAATTTAGAGTTTTCTTTTAATATCACTTTAATTACGGGTATTCTTTTAAACATTTCTCAAATAATTCCGGTTAATGTATGATAATCTTGCGATTCATAAAATAATTTCAACATTTTTAGAGGTACGAAGTATAAAGGCATTTTTATTCATGAAACATACATTAACATGCCTTAAATAAAAGTACAGACTTTCGAACACAAGCATTAGAAAAGTACACCTTATCTCACAAGGTTCTTATATAACATACATTGACTCACATAAAAAGGCACACACACATATACATGTAAGTATATGCTAATATCGATACCGTATATGCACATGCATTCATGGGCAATTAGGGTTTCTGCCAGGACCACCAAAGTAAAAGTGAGTCCCCATTGACGAGTCTCCATCACCATACTTGACATTGTAGCAGTTTTGATAAGCACTGATGACTCCAAGCGTCCCAGGCTCTCTATAAGTGTTAGACCCATCAACAGTTTCGATGTGCATGATGAAGCTTGACTTACCAAACCCTTCCTCGGCGAAGTGTCCACTGCCCATCTGAGTATACGTATGCTGTCCTCTCGATCGGTCATCCACGATTTCGCCTCCCCATTCAATTAACCTTGCTTTGTCTGAAAGATGAGTGAACAACGAGGCCGGCCAATACCCGATGTCTTTGCCATTGATATCCAGCCACCAGTTTCCTGATGTAGGGTCCTATAAGGAACAATACTGGGTTTATGCTAACGAATTCAGCTTGCTAATGTCTAAGGAGAAAGTTATTCATTAAACTATTTACCTTCCATACAAGCAATATGATTACATATTGGGCGTCTTTGTAGTTTGACGCGACTCTAAAAGATCCGCCGATGGCTATGTCATTGTTGGTTTGGACAAAGCCCGAGCATAAATGATTGTAGCAGCCTGTCCTTTGGTACCCATCACTCTATTTACATTTTCCCAGATTTTATTTAGAAACAAATGAAGGATTTGGTATATATAAGTTCATACAAATAACCGACAAATGACAAACTCAAAGATTCGAGTTAGATTCGTGTAAACTCACAGTCCAATAAATGAAGAGCCTAGGGTTATTATCCCCGTAGAATCGCGGGTACACCTGATCAATAGACGAAACAGGAAAACAAAATCTTGGGTAGAAATAGAGATAGGACAAAGAAAAAATGGAGAATACATGACCTAAATTGGAACAGGAAGAAACACCTGCCAACCAACTTCAATGGTATTGATATCAGAACCACTCCCAGCCACGACCCAAAGCTGGGCTAAGCTAAACTCGTTCGGTTTTTCGACAAGAGGTTTCCACAAATTTATCCATGCTTTAGTTCCATAGTAATCGCCGTACGAGTACATCACGGCGTGCTAAAAGAAACACCAGAAGGGAAAAACGTAACCCGAGAAGGAAATAAATAAAAAAGTGCAGTGGCAGGAGAACGTATAGAGAACGAGAAAATTAATTGCAATGAGTCTGATCATATATATATGTTTCGATACCTCATGCCCTATGGTTGAGCTACCGGATTGCGGTTTTGGGATGCTGTTCTGACTCTTTTTACCGTAATTCTCAATGTCTGTTGCTCGTTGGAAATCTTCTTTTCTTGTTCTTCGGATTGGAACCGTGTTTTCTGGACACTTTCCATTCAAGTGCCAAAGTTGAGTTATTGCCTTTGGCTCTTTCTTGTTGTTCAGGGGGTCTTTGTTACCAGTAGAAGTACCTTTTGGACGGGAACTCGGCCTCATCTGCTCAAGATAATTCCCGACATAATGAATAGTAGATGATAGATGGTATAAGAAAAGCCATGACAAAAAACCCAAATAAGTAAAAAAAAAAATGTAAAAGAAAAAAAATCCCGACCAACCTGGATCGAGTGGTTTTTGAGCAAAGGGTGATCTAAAGCCGGTTGCTTGGTAATAGGGACGCAATCAATTATATCTCCGTCTGGACTCTGTAATACATAGATATTGAACAAAAATTAAACTTACAAATTTGAAGTGATCCTTATTCTTGTTTTTGTAACAAGCCACTTGCCATGCAAATTCCATTTTATTTTATTTCGGTTCTGTGAAAAATTTGACAATCCAAACCCCAAATTTTGATTATTATATATTCACATTCAACCAAAAAAAAAACCCTACATGGTTTCATGGGAAATATATGAAGGATGTCATTTCAAGTTATAAACATATGTAATGAGAAATTTCTCTGCACCCTTAAGGAAGTTTTTTTTTTTTTTGGATGAAAGGTTAATTCACCCATAAGGAAGTAATTGATCATCATTAATCTATATACCTAAGGACAACGAAACTGGATGAAGGTACATGTAAGAAAAAGCTTTTCAAAAGTATTGTTGAAATCCATCTCTTCGGTCTAAATGTAACACAAAATCCGTCAACCAGTCTTAGTACTGTACGAGGAGAATTTAAATACCGGTTGTACAATTTCATATCACGTCCAGAAATAACGGTTTTCATGCACTGTTGGTCGGCCATATCAAAAGTTTGCTGTGCAAATTTTATTGAATTTTTGCGTGTACACTTACCTTTATGGACGTAAGAGCCGGCTTATTGAGTCGCTTAAGGTGCCAACGTATTTCAGCGTCTAAGTGATCAGAAGATGTGACTATCGTAGATGTCACCAGCAGAGCCAGCAGAAAACTGGCCAGGTATCCATTAATCATGAGGATATTAGAAGCCATGATTTCTTGCAAACAAAATACTAGGGATCCTAATGCATATATAGGGACGATAGGAGGCTTTCGAAGTTGCTATTGTGAGCACTAACTCTCGTCCAAACCCCATTAGGAATAGTATGTTGGAAACTTGGAGTTGTAGTCATAGGTACAATAATGAAACAATATCTTGTATTTTTTTAAGTTGGAGAGTGCTATGGAAACATATTCTTCCCTGTTTCTCCTTTGAAAAAACAAAGTATATACCCATTTGTAATTTATATTACATGGACACATAAATTAATAATTCGAACTTCTCTAGCGTCTATAGCTTTAATGAAAATATAAAATACTTTGATATATGTGAATCCTATACTACATAGTTGATTCTATTGGATTTAAATTTATTTGATATGATCAAAACGGGTTTATTCGTGAAAAGTTTGGTCCGTGAAATATTTTAAAAAACTATTGATATAAAAAATCAAATCATAATAAAATTTGGAGAAAATTCATCGATTATGATAAACTAGTATTTAAAATAACATCAGATTAAAATTCATCGATTATGAAATTAATATTCTCCCTATTAGTATAACTTTAAATATTGGGTTAGCTCATTTGACTACAATACAAAAATAAGGTGGAGAGAAAAAACAAAGAGCGTTCATATCTGTACTCATATATCTCTCTAAATTCGCTTGGTATTCAGGAAAGTTTCTTCCAAGTACGCGACCGTTGTATCCTAGGGTTTCACCTGCTTCAATAACCTCGAAATTTTAGAGGTAACACGACAATCAAGCTTAAAAAATTGTGTTTTATAAGACTCGACAAAACAATCTTTTATTGAAGGTACTTGTTCAGGATCGTTCGACTTGCCGGAGCTACGCCAACAACAACCTCTACCCCAACAATCGTAAATTCAATTGTTGTACCATCTCTAAAGTTTTGAGGTTATTGGAGTACTGTGAATTTTAAGGATACAACTACCGCGTATTCGACAGAAGTTTTCCCAAATACTAAGCGATTTCAGAGAGAGATATAAGTAGAAATATGAATGCTCATTGTTTTTTCTTTGCTATTTGTTTTATGTTGCTATTTATAGTGGTGGGAGAGTGTCTCGTATTAATGGTAAAATCACCGAGATTTTATTACGATATAATTCTAAATATCGATTTACCATAATTGGTGGATTTTATGCATTATTTTATTATGATTTGATTTTTTAAATCAATCAATAATATTCACTCAATATTATATCGTTTTTTCATTTAAGTTTGTCTAGAACCTTTCATGGATTAGACCCGTTTTGATTTTATCAAATAAATCCAACATATTCTGCCATTGTGAAAGAGTATTCGTCCAAATGATCAAAGGGTTGACACAAACAAAACTTTATAACATTGTCAACTCAAATAGAACTCATACACCAAAGATCTAGTTCGGCGGTTGGAAATGGTATTAGAGTCTGGTTTGGCTCATTTTTCGTTCTCGTTTCTCATCTCTTCTGTTTGAATATGGCATCCTTTGCCAAAATAGTGTTTGGGCAAGGCACAGGAAAACCTCACTCTGCTACCTCACAAACCACAAATTGCTAAGAAAATCTGTATTTCTTAGGAAGTAAATATTAGACCTATCTTCAAATGGTTTTAGATCGTCTTGTTGGTTCGGAAGAAAATCTGTATTTCTTAGGATGTAATATTAATTTATGAATTTATAGGTGCGCCTATTTATTTCCGAACTTACATTTTTGAACATAATAATTACTGATGTTCCTAAACTTATATTTTTTAACACAGTAATTCCTAAACTTTGTTTTGGTCAATTAGTGGTATGAACGATTATAAAACTGTTAAACAAGTTTATAAATTACTATGTTAAAAAATGCAAGTTTTAGAATAAATAGGCGCACCTATAAATTCATGAATTAATACTACACCAAATTACAAGTTCATGAATTTTCAAATATTTTTCTCTTATGTTTTTTGATTTTCTACAACTTCCACGATATCGGGACTCTTGGAAATTCCGGAAGTCTTCATTTTACAAATATTTCTACACAAACTATTGCGAATACATTAATTACAGATAAACTAATTTTAAGAAAATTATTTTTAAAAAGAAAAATAAAAAACACTAAACTCGTCAATTTTGACCGAAATTAATTTGAATATTTTTTTTAGGTAAAAAACTAAATATTTTAATTTATCCAAAATATACTTAAACTATTCGACGAATATCACATTCGACAACCGAGTTAACATGGGTAATGGTATTTCCATACATCACATGACGTGCAAATGTGGCGTAAAAAATTTACACCGTCACATTTGCATTTCTATACATCACATCAACACTTTCGTATGTCACAACAGCTACGAGTGATTAATATTACACTCGTCGAATAATTAATTTTTTGTTTGGATTTAGCGTTTTTTCCTAAAAAAATTACATTTGTTTTTATAAAAAATGAAAAGTATAGGATTTTGTTTTTGAGATTTTCCAAATTATATATATTGGTAATGGGTAACCCAAACTTTACGAATTTTATATGTTGGCCGAATAAGAGGAGGTTTAAAATAGCTGGCTCGATTAATTTGTTCATAAGAGGGGGTTATTATTCTATTTCTTACTTTTCTGACGATGGCTTATGTGACACTCTCAAACACGGTCATAGATTGAAGTTCTTTGGCCTCACCAACCACATTGGCATGCACAAAATTCATAGTCTTCGGATTTAACTACAAGAGATCTTTACAGACTCGTTTTATAAAATCGGGGTAAGTTGTTACAGACTCGTTTTTAGACGATTCGAGCTTGTATTTTTAAGGATCGTTTGTAAATGTGCCTAAGGAGCCAATTCGCACAGCCGCGAGTTCAGGTCAATCAGTTCGACAACCCATGAGTTGATTTGCGAGTTGATGTGTTTTTTTCAACTACATATGCATAACTTCTTTTATACTTAAGCCTAATGTTTTAACGTGTAACTTTCATATTAAAATCTCATTTATTTGTTATATTTTATAATATAAATAAAAGTACTATATTTTTCTTTGGCTTATGTGCAGTTTCGTTTAGCTTGTTAATAGGTGAATCGAGTTGAAACGAAGTTTTTTTACTCGTTTTCAAATTAAACCTAAACTAAGCCAGATCGTTTCAATCCTATTCAAGTCAAAATGTCTCGTCTGACACCCCTCATGGAAACTCGTGCAATAATCTTCGTGCCCACACCCAAACAAACAGAAGTAATGTGTGCATATCTACTATTGGGTTTTCTGATAATATCGGTTTTTGCTGTTGTTTTTCTATAATTTTAGTTGTATTTTGTCCTTCTTTTCTGTATATATTAAGTACTTAGACTGTATTTTAGACATGAAAACCATTTTTTTTTTGCATTTTGGTGTCGGTCTATTCGCGTATTCTGATAAAAACAAAAATAAAACGGAGCTTTAGAGCTTAAATGGACCAAGTGGGCAATAACGGACGAGCTAAAGATGGTTGCAGACATGTCACAGGCGGAAAAACAGACTTAAAGAGCGGAAGAAGCCTAATCTCGATGCTGAAGACATCGATATCGACGTGTAATTACAACGATATCGACGTTCTCGTTCATGCAATTCATAATCCAAAGGGATCTAGTTCTAGGATTCATGTAGAAGAAGTGATGCAGCCCAGAAATCCTCCAGCATCAACATGGACGATAACGAACAAAATCCGAACGAGAAGCAAGACGATGTCGTCGACATTATAGGAGGAGAAAAAGTGAACACCGAGCATACCATGCCAACCATTCCTACACCTTCACTTACAAGACAAAGGACTCAAAGTCTACATTCAAATATCAATACATTCTACATCATTTCAACCTCATGAAGACCTTCTTTAAGCCTCCTAACCGTTGCAAGACGTTTTCTTCCACTTATTCCTTACTTTATGGTGTCTTGTTTCCATTACCTTTCTTTAGTGTTTTGTTAGCTCCTCCTTATGCACGAATTTCCCTTGATTTCTTCTGTATTTCTAGCCTATTTAAAGGTTTTTGTATGTCAAGAATGAGGAGACTTTGAATTGATAAAAATCGAGTTGCATATTTGCTTCTTCTTCTTGGTGTGTCCGAGAGTATCGCCTTCTACGCATGTGTCAAACCATGGTGGATTCAAGGTTGGTTTAGCTCGTTTGAATCCTCTTTCATACCTCTATCTTCCATCAAAATTTGGGAATCATTTGAGTGCCCTTTGGCCTGGAACTTCCCTTCTATCTATCACCTAAACCGAGTGCTCCCGAGTGCTCTATTTTAGTCCGACTTGTAGGATGATTTTGAAGGACTCCGAGTTCCCTTTGACCTAGATATCTTCTTGAAATCTAACCACAAGAATACTTTAGTGAGTCCCCAAGTGTCCCTCGTTTCTATCTTGTTGTATTCGTTCTCCAAAAGGCAACATAAGACACGCACGTACAACCTGCAAACCATCGAAGGAAACGAGCGAGACTTCCTTGGCTCTGTGCGCGTATCAAGAAGGTAAAACAAAAATTTTCTAAAACAGACAACCCCAGAAACCGATAATACTTATATGTAGTTTCAAAGAAGAAACCCTAACATCACAAACTATCTGGGGCATGTTCAAAGCTAAATCGCTCGATCACAAGACGATGGGAAGATTACCAACACCCTCTACACATATCAACTTGTCAGGATATATTCCAATGCTTGGAACTCATCAGTAGGACTAGAAATCTCGATCTCTATGATGTGTAGGATTTTAAAGAAGCAAAGATGAGTTCTGGGACTCTTAGATCTGCTCTAAAAGTGTGAGGAGGGTATATAAAACCCTACGAGTCGAACCCCTAATAATTACTTCACGAAAACCTAATTCTAATGAGAAAAAGAAATTTCTCGACACCCTAGGCCAGGCCGGTCCGGTTCCAGCTGGAACTGGTCCGGTCCAGGTCTAGTCCAAAACCGCTTTCTGGGTCAAGTTCAGCTGAAATTGGACCAACTGGAACCGGTCTGATTTCCAC